GGTAAAACAATGATTTATATAAATTAACTCCAATCCTATAGAAACTTGTAACAAACATTCCATGAAATACCAAACTACCATACAGACATAATAATGACTGAAACTGACAGTTTTTTTTTATGTTGGCTAAGGATTTCAAACATATTAACTATTCAGACACAAATATGCTAAAAACTTAAACTGCTTCATGATTTATGGTAACTGAATGAAAAGGATAAATTCGTGAATTCAAAACATTTAGCTTGTTACTTACAGTTTGTGTTATTGGTTGCTTGTTTTTATCTCAAAGTTACACAATGAACTGTCTGTGCCCTGACTACCACAGGGAATTGAACCCCAGATGTGTATCATTATAATTCCATAAACTTATCACTGTACCACCAGATGACAGTGTCAATGAAGGATAATGGCTTATGCATATTTTCTGTTGTAAAATGTTTGGTTTATTAAGCTGAATAATTTCTTATTCTAGTTTTCAAACATACTTCAGATAAACTAGTATCCACACTAAGTCTTGATTTAGCTTTGCAAAGTAAAAGTAAATAAATGATATAATTAAATATTTTTGTGAATTCTTACATGTATCACTTACTTCTTGAGTTAGTTTTCTTTCTTGCACATCTTCCTTGCTTTTTGTGTTCTTTTGTTCTGGAGTTGGATTTTTATGTTCTGCAGCCTTTAGTAAAGTCTGAAGTTTCCGAGTCAACATGATATTGCCTTTGATTTTCAATTTGCCTGACATGAAGGCCTATGAAGTAGAGATTTATTAATTTAAAATGTTCGCAATATAGAGTTTGGTAAATTAGGAGTCCCTAGAGAATGTAGGTTTTATTAACTAAAGATGTTCTCAATATATACAAGTTATTGGACATAAGAGCCCATGATGCAGATATTTCATTAATTACAGACATTCTCAATATAAAGAGTGGAGGTTTATTTAATTACAGGTATTCTCAGTCTAGAGTTTACTAAACATAAGGCCCATTGAGAATGTAGGTTTTATTAACTAAAGAAGTTCTTGATATAAACAGGTTATTGGACATGAAGGCCTATGATGTAGATATTTCATTAATTAATGATAGTCTCCAAATGCAGTTTATCTGAAATGAAGACCAATGACATAGAAATTTTATTAATTAAAGATATTCCAAATATAGAGTTTACTAAATCTCTCTGACCGACCTTGTAACCATGAAACTATACATATACTAAAACTTTGAGTGTTGTAAGCCTATACTGAGTCAGACTGAAAGGAGATTTACATGCTCAGAATAAAAATACTTCTTTTTCATCATAGTTAATGTGACAAGTAGTAAATCAATGGGTGGGATAGCAAACAAATGATTCAGGTTAATGCAAGTACGTAATTCACGCATAACATGAGGAGTGATGATGTAAGAACTTTATTTTTCATTTAAGTTTTCTTGTATAACCTAATAAGTTTTTAATTTTTACATTTTTGTTACTTTTGCTAGAAAATAGACAACAATGGACAACAAATACACATAAAAACAAGAAGTTTAGAACCTACCTTAGTTTTCCACCAGTCTGCACTCAGTCAAAGGCCATGCCTGCTTTCATAACCCTAATTTTCATTACTATATTTTTAACAGGCTTTCTGGTTTACAGTGTAAATAAGGTTATTTTATTTTATGAATTTTCCAACAGTACCTTCTGAGGGTCAAGTTTGCCAGTAATCATAGAAACCATGTCACTGTCTTCTAAGGTCAGGATGCAGCCTGCTTTTTCATTTTTTGGGGATCCTCTGTAGACTTCACCTTTACCATTCTTCAGATCTAGTGCTAAGATGATACATAACTTATTAATTCAATATCAGATCTTCCATTTTTACTCTAATCTTCATTAGAAACAACAAACTTGGAGCAAAAAAGATACACTGAGAAAACTGCACTTATTGCATACATCACATTTTAAGCTGTTAGTAGTGTCAAATTATGAATTAGTAAGGGGAAGGTAAGAGGTTATCATTACAATTTTACACCTTTTTTGAAAGAAGAAAAGAAAAAGGAAGCAAACTCATCAACTTACAATTCAACCAAAATCTTATATTTACATTAATAAGTTGAATAAATAACTAATTCCCAAGCAAATCTTACTCCATTGAGCGGCTGGTTTTCCATTCTTGGTAATATTCCACTCAAAAATGGCCTGGGCTTTAGCTGCAGCATCAGGCATCTCTTGAAGTCGTTTACCAAGTTCTATAAACACCAAGTCACTATTGATGGTTGCAGGAAGCTCCTATTAAAAGAAATAGGGGAAGATTTTATGTAATTGTCATAAATTATCAGCATAAAGAAAAATATAAATGAAACTTTGAACAAAAATTACCTTAAAACTTTGGCAACTTTCTGATGTCTTCTTTTTTAGAAAACTAGATAAAGTAATTTTTAGCAGCACATATTCAAGTTATGAAGATTATGTTTCAGCCAATTATAGTTATTTATTGCCTTGTTATTTTAAAGCATTAACTCTCAGTTATAAACTGATAGAATTTTTTACTTAATGACAAGTACTTTCATCTGAGCACCTCTCGAAGTTGAGACCTAATTATTCCTTTGGCTTTTGCACATTCAATAAATTTCAAATAACTATGCTTTTCATCAATTCCATATTATCCTAGTTACCTTTTCTGGACTCTCCATTTTCAAAAGTAGTTTAAAAAGTTATCAATATTAAGTACTTGAAACTTTACTAACTCTCGTTATTAATGTAAGTAAAAGTATAAGAAATAAACAGGAGAATAAATAGTTCAACTAATTACAATACTTACGTTATGTACATCAGAGCTGGGCTTTACGGCTATGACAGGATCATTTAAATCCACATAACCCCCCGAAACAACAACTTTTCCTGTCTCATCAACCTGTAGGAGAAAATAAGTTGAACTATTCCAGTGGAAAAAAAAACATTAAAAAATATTTTACTATAAAATAATTAGGTAATTATTTCCAATATTAAATTAATAGTAGAAAAATTAATCCATGGACAATATTCACAAGCAAAATTTGAGGAGGAATAATTCTATACAAATAACTAAATATGCTTATTTCAAGTTTATAAATTTGCCTTTCAGCAATAAATAAAATACTATATTTTCTATCTAAACCTTTTTATATGCATAATGTTTACTTAATACACCAGATTTTGTTTCATAACCAAATGAAGGCTTCTGTAGTAACCATAAATGCTAGACATGCTAAGATTGGAGATGGATGAAATGTCATTTCAACTGAAACTTGGTGACAGAACAGCAAGTTTTGCTATACCATTTATAATAACTTGTACCTGGTCATGTACATTAAATAAAATTTACTTTCTTTTATAAGCATCACACTAGGTTACATATATGCTGTTTTTACTTGTGCAAATCGATGTAAGACAAAATATTGAAGAAACAATAACAACTTTAAAATGCCTACAGGTAAAGTTCAAAAGCACTCTTATTGGTTGTTTTGTATCAATTTCCAAACAAATACTCTGTATGTTATTTTTCAATTAACATAAGAAGAAAATCAAGAAATTTTCTAATTTTGATGAAAGACCATGTATAATGTACAAATTTCCTTGTGAATAAAACTAATACATCTTGGTTAATTCTAATACTTCAGATTTGAAGATAGTTAAAAAACTCATAAAAACATTTTAAAATATTCAAATCAGGTTGAAAGATCCTCTATATTTTTAGCTTTTCCTCCTGTGACTAAAATGAGTTTTTAATGCATGTTACTTCATACTAATATTTCAAGTTTGAAGCTGTTTAAAAAAAATCACCACATCTTGGTTCATTCTAATGTTTCAAATTTGAAGCTGTTCAAAAAAAACAAATCATTCTATGGTCAATCATGTCATCATAACATTTATTGTTTTGTTCTAGTTTGTACATATTATTCTGTTTGATAACATTTTGGTCATCAGAAGTGTAAAACATAAAAATAACTCTTTAGTACTATAATTAGTGCTTTACTACTATAATGGGGGCTGGTATGCCAACCTCAGGAAGTACGTTTATCTTACTTACCTCCCCCAAGTGGTAGTATCTTATTTCATTTTTTTTTAATATTTTTTTTTTATTTCTTTTTCTATTATATTTTTGCTTTTTTTTTTTACTTTAGAGAGCAGTCACTTTCCCACAACTGTCTGCAGGCTGTGAAGGGTGATATAGATGTGGGACCCACATCTCACCCTCGTAATTTGTATTTCTTTTGTTAATTTCTTCATGTGAGACTGGCAAATGGTGGTTAAGACTGATAGATGGTGTATCCCCACTGCAATGTGGGTCCTACTTATGCAATCACCTCCAAAACTATGGGCACATTTTATATCCTACATTATAGCCTGTACCCTGGGGATCCTTTTAATTTATGCAGCTTTTTTGATTTGATTTTGCTTGGACTTGTTTTTGTTCATTTAAATGTCATTTATCACAGGTTTGTATCAGCCGTTTTTAATGCAGTCCTTCCAGTTGATTTTATTTTGCTTGACTGTTTAAGTATTAATTTCCTATATATATATATTTCCCCCAAAACATTAAGCAGGATAATTTACTGTGCTTCTTTATATTAATTTGTAAGTTGTGTATCATTTCATGAATAGAAAAAGCAAACTATCTGATATAATAAAATATTAATATTCAACTAATCCTTATTCATATCATACACACTTATACTTCAGCAAAATTCATTGTACAAGTGATGTGTTATTTACATTAATGCTAATTTACATCAGAAAACTTTATTGTTAAATGATCAACTTCTTACACAGATGAGTTTGGGAATACTTACTGTACACTGAAAATGAATACGATTTCCTTCCTTCCACATATGTGTCTGAATACTTTCTCCTGGGATCACTGGCCCAGTAAACCTTGCCTAAGTAAGAATATTTCAATAACTAAATGTTCGATTCTCATTCTACTTCAGTTGCAATAACAAATAGATTACAACATACAAGGTGATCCAGATATGGTGCACTCCAAACCACATTTATCTTGCCTTCAATAATGATTTCTTCACCACATTTCTGTTTACTTCATATTTATGCCAACATTCTCTTTGTGCATTCTCTTTACGTATTAGTTAAACTGAGAAACAGCAACAGATATGAATAACACCAGATATACATAAAGAGTTTTCTTTCTTATGCCTATAGACACTATACTCGCATATACAATACTCAAAACAGGTACCAGTTTAAAAATCCACTTTAATAATATAATTGTGCAGAAACTCAAAGTGTGCCACTTCCAGACCACCTAGAATATACTATTAAGCTTACCATATCTCTTAAATTAATTTACACATTTTTACTATGAGTAAATAAAATCATCTTAAAAGCAGTACTTTTTTTTTTTATAAATAAATTTCCACAAATCAAATTTCTGTTATATATATATATGACCACATGAGTATTATACCAACTTGTGTTGAAAACAGGCATAAATAACAACTTGCACATTTGTGACATTGAACTACAACTCAAACATATTAAAGATGCTTTAAAATATTATTAAAATGGTATACTGTAATGAATGAAACAAAAAAGTACTGTTGTAATGTAACAACCTACTCCATTAACCAATAAACATTCTCAATTAATCAAAAACTTAAGTGATTTTTAGTTTTTACATAACAACAGAATTAGGAATTGTGAAAAATTTAATGGATAAAATCAACTGTCTCTTGCACAAGAATCACAACATAAGACTTTATTACCAAGTATTGTTTGTACCTTAATTTTTTTAAATTTAGTTACATCATTCCCAGCAAACTGCTTAAGAACATGACGAGCTGCATATCCAAAAGTACATAACCCATGTATAATTGGTTGAGGAAATCCTGGTAAAAGAACACAAAACATTACCACTAAAACTTAGAAAATGACCTGTACTACATATAGTGTTACACAAGTCCTGTATTTGCTAATTTACTTATAATATAATGACAACCTAAGATATTAAATATATGATAAATATTATTAAAGACATGATGTATAGTACAACCCACCTCACATCATAGTTCATTTGTAAAAAAAAACATACAAGTCTAACTTTATATAAAGCTTAGCAGAATAAATTCTTTATCTGATTCTAATGGCTATCTGGAAGAATCTGAAATAAGAATCTAATGAAATGCATATTTATTTTGTGTGGAAAATAATGTGTTAAAATACATTTTAGTTTTAAGGGAAGGTTGTAGCCTAATGGCTGCCTATTGGGAACCAAGGTTTTAAAAAACAATGTATATGAATGAAAATATAAAAGTGAAGAATTTATCAAAAAAATATGTATACAAAATTCAATATCAGTAGAATATCAAAGTAAATAAACCCATATGTTATTAGTTTATTAGAATCTGTAAAAAAAATCAAATATAGATAATGTATTAAAGAACAATACTATTTTAAACACAAGAAAATTAATATGAAAAGTTTGTCAAGTACATATTTGTGAAGATAATTAAAATCACACAACTGTTATTAGCCCTGTTGAGCAATACTCATTGCCAAACACAAGGCATGACTTGAAATTAGCAAATTAGTTGGCAAAAACCAGTTGATTCTAGTGTGTGTTTAGTCACTTACCATCAAGGAGCACAAGAATGTTTTGTTAGTTGATAATCCAGGCATTATTATGAATATTCAGACCAGTTGTAAATAATGATTAAAAAAAACAACAATGACAGAACAACTGGCTGAACACAACACCACACCATGATAAATCAATTGATAAACCTTTTCCAGTAGCTAACTAAGCATTGTTCTCATGCATCTTTCAGTGGGATTCCCTGAGTTTAGAATACAAAGTATAAACAGCACTTTCAAGCAGTGTTTCACTTCATTGTCATGTCATTATTATTACAACATAGGTCTAAAATTTGAGAGCATATCAAAAATTACAAAACCAAAAATGTGACACTTCTTGGATATGTATATTGTATAGCAGAGACGGCTGGTATGGGTATTAAAAACATTAATTAAAATAAAGTACAAGAACAACGTTTCAAGCTTCTTAGGTCATCTTCAGGTTAACAAAGACAATTTGAAACTGACCGTTACTAAGCACATGTCTTGGGGGCGAGAGTGTGAACAGGTACAAGATTGTAGGGGGTGTAGCAGTTATATGTTAGGTGATTAATACAATAATTGAATCTCAAGCAATCAATTCAGCTTTACATCTACCACTATACTAGTACAGATGTGTTGACCATATATTTGCTGGATTTACATCTACAGAACACACACTTAGTTTTTCAATCACGCTAACTCCATACATCCCAACATACGAAAAAGCTAAACAAATAACATTTCTCAACCTCAAGATCACAAGAACCGATACACAATTCAAAACAGAAATCCACAGAAAAATCACCCATATTGGACTATATATTCCTTGGGACTCAGCACACATGAAATAAAACAAAAACATTAAAAAACAAATAAGCCACAAAACTATGCTCACCAGATAAAATTAATGAGGAAAATAAAAAAAATTAAAATAACACTTCCTCAACATCAATAAATTTCCTTCAAAAACCATTAAAAAAAATCATACACACATACCTAGACCAACAACACAATCAACATCAAACAAACAATAATAAATTCAATGAAACAACTAACTATAAAATCCTGCACTGTTGCATACCGTATTTCCCGATAGTAGCGATAAAATAATCAACATCTGGAAAAAACTTACAACAAAACATAACATTCCAATAAACACTAAATTCATTCAAAAACCGGGCATAAAACTAAAATCCATACTATGTAAAAACTACACTGATAAACATAACACAAACATTATTTATAAAACACAATGCAACAACTGCTACGACTTCTATATTGGAGAAACAAGCCAAAAAATGGAAACCAGATTCAATGAATGCATAAAAATACCTTCTCACATTTTTGAACACTGCAAAACAACATATTAAGTAGAGAAACGAAGACAAACAAACGAAAAATCAAAAAAGCCCTACTTATACAAGAACTCAAACCAAAATAAAACCAACATAAAGGAACACACCCATACTTATATTAATCACCTAACATCTAACTGCTACGCCCCCTACAATCTCATACCTGTTCACACTCTCACCCTTAAGACATGTGTCCAGTAATGGTCAGTTTCAAACTGTCTTTGTTAACCTGAAGATGACCTAAGAAGGTTGAAATGTTGTTCTTGTACTTTATTTTAATTAAAGTTTTAATATCCATACTAGCCGTCTCAGCTATACATTTTTCCTTCAAGTGGAGTTTCTCATCATCATTGATACGTACATCATCCGAGTTATTTACGTTAAAGGAATGCAACTTGTAGATTCTTTGTTTCATTATTCCTTTTTGTGAGAAACGTTAAAATATAACTGGCAAAAACTTGTCAGTTGTCCAAAAATTTAGTTTCAAGCCCTGCAAAGTTATTTTTGTAACATAATTGAACAATATCATACTCACTGAACATCAGAAAAAAGTTATTTAATAATTCATCAGTGGGTTTTAAAGTCTTTAGAAATGAATGTCATACAAATTTAATACACCATAAAGAGAATGTGATGTTAATCTTAATGCCATCCTGAATAATTAAAAATTTTACAAAAATAAGGGAATAATTGTAATGAAATCATATTTCCCAAAACATCATATGAACTTTAAGCTATTATTTTGTTTCTCACCTCCCATAGCAGCAAAGGAAGGATCAATATGAAGAGGATTACTATCGCCCATAAGACGGTATAAGGCAGCCTAAGAAAAGGAAATAAGAATAGTTTCAGTGAGCACCTGAAACACGATAATAAATGGAAGTAAATAAATACATATATTGTTATAAGCCATATATTTTTCACTTTATTTGTTTTTTAGCTAGAGGGAGTTGGGGGTTACTGATGATATGATTAAGTTTGAAAAGTTAAGATGGGCCTAGAACTTCTAGAAAACTAAGGATGTAACATAAAATATTTTAGCTATTCAAAAGTAGATTATGTATATAAGACAGTTAAGAGGGTTTAGGGTGATTTTCAGAATATAGAGAGAATTCGTCAGTGTGTTAGCTATCATGGTTATTTTGAACAGTTAAGTTGATTTGTTTTATTTTAATTAATGTCATTTGTAATGTAGGCTTACAAGACAATTTGCCAGTGTTCTAGCTTGTAGAAATGTTAAATAAGGAAACAAATTCATGCAGACTGGATTTTGAATTAGTTTTACCAGATAATTATGGAAAAAATATAAATTATAATAAAAGTAAAAGGGTAAAAGCAATGGCTGATGAAGTTTAAGAAAATCATAGTAAGTGGCCAAAAGCTTGGACAGTCGTTTCACTTTCTACATGTGAATCATAATTTTGACTTTAGTTTTATTTCCTTTTAATTTTATCTCTTGCTGGATTACCTATCTTACTTTTTAAGCCTAAGATAATATTGGTTAAAACACATTATAGTGAAAGAATCTATATATCACATAGTTTAAAACTTTCATATTATATAATATAGCAAATTAACAAAACATAAATACATTATTTCCTCAATCAAACAAAAATAGTTAAATAACCTATATGCTGTTTAATACTTAATAATGGATTAACAAGCTGATAAATTACCCAATTATTTTAATAGTAAACACTTGTTCTTTAAGTTACTATGCTTTATAGTGTAATAATACTGTTAGAAAGTTACAATACAAAAGAACAATGCTTGGGGTATATTTTTATACTCCTATCCAACTAAAATGTTTATATAGTGTCTCTTTAATCCAATATGCACAGGTATGGGTCAAAGTGTACATGTCCTGACCTTGTACAGAGTGCCTTTCAACTTGGTATTATGAATTTGATGTCAAAGTTATCAACTTTTCATGTTACTCTACATTACTGATTTCACAACAGTTCATGCTAGACTAGAGAAAATGTCAGATAACATGTACAGGGATACTGAAAAAACTTTAGATATGCAAATTTAGGAGGTTACAAAGGATATGCAAATACAATTTTCAATTTGTATGATGGACAAAAGTATTTCTATTCTTCACATGAACATCACCTTGCACTCCAACTTGTCAGAGTTTGAGTAAGACTGACTTTGACACATCACAGATATATCTTAAGTATAAAAAACTTTATTAACGCATTTGATTTTTTTTGTGTACAAAATACTTGTACTGTTTGCTAAAAGCTTTTCACATTTTCAGAAGATATACTTCATACATTTGGAATTACAATCAACATTAATTTTCCAATGTGGGGTCAGTACAATAGACTGACCCCAAACACATTCAGTTAAACTATAACAAATATCAATTTGTTCTAAGAATTTACCTGGTCTACAGATGTTTTTTCTGTAATGAAGCAATCAGGCTTACGATTGGGAGGGGGAACAATTGACTTTATTTTATCTGAATCTCGCTTTCCTCCAAAGTTCCCTGCTCCTATGAAGAAGACACTCCACTGACTATACATTATTTTCTCTCCAGCATCATTGAAAGTGTTGACTGTGAATATAAAGGTAGTAAAAGACATTTTTAAATATTTTAAAGATAATTTATCTAAAAATGAAAAAAACAAAACAAAAAAACTATCATTAATTTATTTGAAACCAGGAAAATTAGGTGTAACATGAAACTGTTGTACATAAAGTTTATTTTAATTTACTTTATCATAAGTTTTTATGATTAAAGTGATATCATTATACAAGATATCGATGTAACAGTATCTTAGGACTATCTTTTCAAATACACATAACTAATTAATGGCATAAAAAACTTACATTTACAAGTATATTTAATACGTAACAAATAAAAGTTGGAAGCTAAAATTTCCAGTAAAATATAATTAAATAGTTAACCATGTGTTACACAAATAAAACAGTTCTTGAATAACAACTATAAAATGTATTGTCTATTGATAACATATGTTATTAATGGATGTTAAATTTTATAGTAGATATTCTTGTACTGTTTGTTCAATCTTTATTTCATTAATAGACAGCAAATTTATGGTTGAGATTCAATTACTGTATGCTTAACCATTACAGGTTGTTTAACCATTATGTTAATAATGGATGTTAAATTTTATAGAAGATATTATTGTTTGTTGAATCATTATTTCATTAATGGACAGTAAATTTTGTGGTTAGTATTTGCAAGTACAGGTTGTTTAACCATTCTTAACTACTATGTTATCAATGTTTAACCATTATGTTAATAATGGATTTTAATTTTATAGAAGATATTATTGTTTGTTGAATCATTATTTCATTAATGGACAGTAAATTTTGTGGTTAGTATTTGCAAGTACAGGTTTAACCATTATGTTAATAATGGATGTTAAATTTTATAGAAGATGTTATTGTTTGTTGAATCATTATTTCGTTAATGGACAGTAAATTTTGTGGTTGGTATTTGCAAGTCATACAGTACTTGACTAGTAACCATCAAATTTATAGTTCATTAATAATATAATGGTTAAGTAAATAATACTTGCATTAAATTCATAAACATCACATCTATTAATGAAACAATGGTTAAACAAACAATGCATAATAATAATCATAAAATGCATTGTCTATTAATGGCATAATGGTTAAGCACACAATACTTGAATAAGAACCATAAAAGTGACATCCATTAATGAAATAATGGTTAAACATACAGTACACGAATACCTGTTATAAAATTTAATATCCATTAATGACATAAAAATTTAATAATTTCATAATGATAGAAATTTTGATATAAGTAACAGAAACAAAAAGTTTTATGGTAATTATTATACACATCTCAATATGGTTAATTGGGTCTGCCTTGTTGAAGTTGCTACAAGAATAAGAAACTATTATGGAAAAAAGTAAGAAACACTCACCATCTAAAACAACTAGTGCACCTGAACCTTTGTCCAGTACATCTGCCACCTCTACAACAGAATTCAAAACATCTTCTGGTGGAAAAGGCTTTAAAATCTCCAGATACTGTTCTCCATGAACCATCTATGAGAATAAAGTTTAGAAATATTACAGACATTAAATTATAAAAAGTGTCCTTGCTATTCTATTTTTTGTAACATTTTTTCAATACATAGAAAAAGTGTTTTGCAACTATACAAATAAAACACAAGCAATTTACTTTCTACAATAATCATTAAATATATGTTGTTGTTTTTAATTAATAACTTTCCTTATTTATCTAAAGCATTATTTTGAAAAAAAATTTTCTCGAATAACACATTGATTGAGTGTTCATTAACAGTCAGCAGACAGCAAAATCATCGTCAATTTTATATTGGTTAACTCTGTAAAGAAGAACAAGTTCATGTAAAAATAAATGCAACCTGATGATTACAATAATTAACATGTTTTCTGTCAAAATATTCTTGGTACACTTTCTGAACACTATGACACCCTGTAACATAGCTTCAACTTTAAATTCTTATGTCCTACTTAACTGTATAAGACTGATATCAATTATTACACTCACTGGTATATGGCAATCTAAATTAACTGTTAAGTTTGACAAGCTCCTGAAAACTTCTTTGTAAGGTCTAACATTAGATTTAGTTATGCTCATAGCTAACATTAAAACTAATACTAGTGTTTATGATTGTTTGTTTTGAATTTTTCACAAAGCTACACAAAGGCTATCTGCGCTAGCTGTCCATAATTTAGCA